GATGCCAAAAGATCAGATTCAATGTGGTTTTAATCTGCACAGTTGTTTTCAACAATAACTAGAAGTTGAGGTAAACAGTTATCCTTGAGGACTTATTTCTAATTTTTGACAAAAAGGAGAACCAATCAAATACATCACAACACTCTTGATGCAGCAATCATGTCTGCATCTTGGGGTCTCACACTGGAGGTAAACCCATCATTTTCAACTAGATAGTTTTTTCCTGAAATTTCCACATTTTCTGGAAACCCTCACATGGCATCTGGATCCGAGCTGCAGGTTGGTACAGGGTAACACGGAAGGGTTATGCACCTGGCTTCTCGCAATCTACAAGTCCCGACATCGCAAAATATGTTTTCGCATGTTCCAACACCTGTTATTTAAAATTGTATCATGCAATAACACTGTGCACAACAAAATAAATAATACGATTGTAGCGTGTTTCAACGATATTTCACCCAATGGTAAGCAGGTAAAGTCATACGGACAGCCGAGTGGGAACGTCAACCTGCTGCAGATCCTCTGATAGGCATAACAACGCATCCCATTTTGTTGACAGAGAGACTGGAAAAGAATTCATATATGGTTCAAATACTGTGTATGCATGCTGTTGGGGACAAAGGTTGCCACAACAAGGAAGTACTGAAAAGAAGGGTTAAATAAGGTTCAAAGAGAAACACAGACTCAGCCCGAGACTGGGGCCGGGAATTCACAGTGGAACCCCTAGTTACAATTTGAAGTATATTTTGAAGTCCCAATTTAAACTTGAACAGAATCACCCAAGAAAACAAGTTGTCACAGAATAAATGAGAACTTTGAGCTTAACCAAAAACCTCTCAGAAAACCTCTTGAATGCACTGCTTCAGCAGCTAGATCAGACTGTACTGTTTTTGGATAAAAAGGGGGTATTTATTAATTCCTTCTCTGGTCCTTGATCAAGGGGGCTTGATATCAAGGGCGGAGGAATCTTGGAGGCCTGGGATTGGCCGATAAATTGGTCATTGAAGACGTCTTGGCGCCAAAACAGTTGAATTTTTCGGGGGAAGGGGAAAGTTATTGACAACTTTTCATCCATTTTTTACGCTCGGGTGGTTTTCCACTCAATTAAGTATTTATTATTGATTTTCTGAAAGGGGATGTGCAGCGAGTCCCCAACACATGCTATGCAGATCCTCTCTGGAAATTCCAGAACAGTCTTTCCCAACCCGTGGTCCACAAACTGGTGCCAGTCATCCTCGGAAAATTTTCTTCAGCATGATAATAATTTGTCAAAATTACCAATGGAGTATATGTTATCTTTATCTAAAATTTTAGAAAGACAATAAATCTTAGTTGAAATTATCTAATGAAAAATAAAAGTTGGATTTTTCTTTCAAAAACACAACCAATGTTTCAATTATGCTGAAATAAATGTATTAAGCTCACTAGTATAATTTGTTGGAGACATTTCACCATGCAGCTGCTTCATTGGTTCTTATTTTTTGCAAAAAAGCAGAAACTTTTTAAATGCCTGCCATAAAGTCTTCTTCAACAATATGCTGGACCATACAAAAATTTCAAAAACGTTTTCAAAATAAAACTCAATCAAGGTTGAGGCAACACCTCAAGTACCATTTTCATGCATGGGAATTAAGAAAAATTAATGCATACAAACTTGACATAGTGGTCTGACTAGAGGTATGCCCAGTGATAAAGTTTGTCGCAGGCAAAATGTGCCACAGCCACTGTTGCAACAAATTCCTCCAAAGCCACACTGAAAGTCAGTTTCACAATCCCTTGTACAGCCAGTTGTGTTGCCAATGTTGATGGGAGACATTGGTGGACACCCTGGGCGCCAGTTTTCTGTATTCAATACGAAATTAAATTCAGTTAAGTTATCATCATCTTATATAATGTATGGACATTATCAAACACATATATGGAGAACAAAAGGGATTCCAGCATATTTTTCTCCACAATATCAGCCATGACAATTTGTTTTTTTCTGTCTATAATTGAGCATTGGTCAAACCTCTGAATGATATTGAACATGACCAGCTTTCTGCATTCAGCAATAGATTGAGTTCATATAGGTATAAGTTATCATCTTACAGCAATTTCATCACAATAAATACCATTAAAACACATTTTTCACTGTAACAAACTTTTCCGAAGTCCTGGCAGAAATTCTCTACGGTACATGTTATGAAAACCTTAAATGTTATGACAAATAGTAAAATTCCATTATAAACAACTTTTTTACTGAACGCAGAATTCTCCTGATAAATTTTCTCAACCAAAAGTAAGGTGAGCACAGTCTCAAATTTCTGTTTCCAATACCAGTTTTTTGAGCTTGAATGGAAGAAACTAGGAAAAATTGCAACCAAGTTGATCCAAACGCAGTTAAATATAAATACTGTAGGTCTTCTGCACGGGGGCGAGGCCACAAATGTATCCTAGAGCAAACGTAATGTGTAATGTACAAGAATTTATTTTCGGTGGTTTTAGAAACCTTGCTGATGCTTATCATAACTTGATTTTTTACACACACCCTCATGATGTTTAGCTTTTTGCTTGCAAAAACTTACAGTTATTAAAAGTTCTTGTTTTTATGTTGCATAACAATCCATTTCAGAACTCCACAGAAATCAAGAATGAAATTCTCAAAGTGCAATGCAAATATGCGATAGAATCTCATCGCAATAAATCTTGTTGTACATGATGGATAATCAAGTACAATAACAAAGTACTTTTTTCTGTCCCTGTCCAATAGCCAAAATGCGAAAAAAGTTACTTTATAACAATTTTTTTTGTTAAAATAACAAAACTATTTCACTGGTCCCAATGGCTTTGGGGGTAAAGAGATTTTTTGTTTCATGTACTTACTCCAGTCAAGTAATTGAGTGAGAAGCTGGCCATGAATGATCCCAAGGACTGAGAATCCCACCAAAACGAAAGTGGCACCCCGCATGTTATTGATCTTGTTCCTAAATTGTTTTCCACTTTTCTCACGCTTTCAACCGCACTGGCATTTCGTCTACACATCATGAATCGAGTCACAGGTTTTTTCTTTACCTGACAAGTTCGTGTATCCATGGAAAAGAAAGCATGATGGGAAACGTGCATGAAGTCGATAGATATTAAATCACCATAGGGACTTTTGTCTTTTTCCTATACCGTACTGACATTGTGCAATGTACCAAGAGCCGAGTCAGCACAATTCCAATCTGGTTTGATTCGAGCGGCGCGTATATTTACATATACTGTACATATGAACAAAAGGTTATTGAGTATACAATATGGTGCGGACGACAATAAACAGCTGACGACGAAAATGGAAGATGATAACCCACGTTTGATTTCCAACTAAAGTTCCGGTATTTTTTTTCAGTTTGCCTAAATTTAAAACAACTCTAAATAATCTACCACAGTATAAAAATCCCAGACCTACTTCATGCGCCCACATTTCAAGCTGTCATCGTGGCATCTATCAGAAGAAAATGCAAGCTTATGTGCTTTGTTTCAGTTGAAAATTGGTTGTAAGGGGAAACTTTCTGATGGGCTGGATTGCAAAATTTATGGGACATGCAAAATTTGAACAAAGAATGCATAACAAAATTATCCCACGTGAATTTTTATTTCCAAATGCAGGACAGCACTTGAGGCTTCGAAATTCCCCTTTGACAAGTCTGAGCCACTGTTGAACATCCTTCATTTTTACTGAGTTGATGTTCTCAGCTTCCAAGTTCTCACATTAAACTCATGGAATAGGTGATGGACTTACTCCACAACAAAATGCAAGTTACCATCAGAAAACAATTCTTTATGGAAAGCATTTTGTCATGGAGAACACTAACAAGAATGGGGAAATAACCCCAAGGGCGAAAAAATTTATTCAACAGAAAGAATTGTTGCAGAGAAGATCATTCTAGACTAGAGAAAGTCCACCAGTATGGACAAATTTAGTGAGTAGAAAACATTTTATTCAAGATGTGACACCTGTTTACTGTACACTTGACACTCAAATTACGGCTTCTGCTTGAAAAGGAAGGAAAACAAGTCAGCTTTTTTCATGACTTCAACCAATGAAGTAAACATTACAGCAACAAATTTTGAGGTTCACCTCGCCTTTCGACATTTTCATGTTGTTGAATTCCACTTTTTTCACCATTGAATCAATAATCTCCATCGAAATGAGTGAACGTTTTCAGTCAAGGGGATGCATGTTCAACATGAAAAATACGCACTGTACTAAATAAAAACCCAGGAACAGATTAATTCTGTAGTGCAGGTGATCAAGAACCAGGGCTGTTGGGCTTTCAATTCAAAATAGCCCCGACACAGAAAAATAAACATTTATTGTTTTGAAGAAGGTTCATTCATTCCCTAAATCCGAACCTGAACATTTTCAAGCTTCCTGAGATTTCTCAGAAATTCGCCTCAACACAAAAATCTTGGCTTTGACCACTGCACTATAGTGCCTATAATTCGGAAAACGTGTGATGCGTAAGAAACACGTATGCTTACGCGTTTGAGGCTGAGAAAAAATATCAAGATATCCCTTTGTATTACTGCTGGACGCAAAAAGGAAGTACAACGCCAAACTATTTCAATGTTGGTCAATATCCCAATATATGCCGAAATGACCCAGCTCAGAAAAATAGATCTTCATCGAATGCTCGTCGTATTTTCAGCTGATGCCACAACAAAATAATTGCAGCGCTTCTACATTGTCAACAATAACGTACAAAACTGAGCGATGCCCATGGAACTGCAGCACGTTGGCCCGAGTCGACATCACGCAAAATGAGTTCAGCACAATCGTACATTTGGCCAATAATGCCGCGTAAAAAAAATGGCGGGATAGCAAATTCAATGACACCACTGATGCATAAACAAAAGAACACAGGTATACAACGATACAGAAACGAAGCCCGATTCGTTCGCTTCAAGGATATCTGCTTCTCGAAAGAATTAATCAGATTCCATTCTTTGTTCGACAGAAATACAACTTATTATGCGTCGGTTTTTTTATCTTTTTAAGGAAAACGTGTTCCACAGAAAATGAAGTTCTGCATGAAGTGCGTGTAAACAGGAGAAAAACAATCTCTTTCCGCGATTACAAAAAAAATTGGCAGTTCGACATTTTTTCAAGAAGTCGAAGACCCAGCGCTTCATCAATTCACGTTTGCTCCGAACACCGGATCATTCCACAACTTTTCGCACAACTCCTCCGAGTGTTTATTCAAGTGTTCACGCAACAGATCCGCATTACTGCACTGGATCTTGCAAATGGCACAGATGAGGCTTCCTTGGCATCCGTTGAACCGAATCGTGGTCGTGGTACCAAGTGGATCCGACATCACACCGATGCTCACATTGACTTGATGCGAGATTCTCAAATGGGCACCGAAGGAGTCCCACGGGAAGACCTGCTTGCAGAAGTTGCATTGCCTCATTGGAGACACGGGTTCGCCGTGACATTGGCACACGTGGAAATGGAACCACTCCGTCGTGTTGAACTTGCGCCCACAAAATTTGCACTCGTGGAGACCATCTTTGATGCCCGACAAACCGATCAAGTCCGTATACGTCTTCTGGTGTTTCCTTCGGAGGAAAAACACATGTCTTCAGTTCATGCAATTCAAAGTGGAAGAACCAAGATTCCATGATTAAATCAAAATTAGAATGGGTCCCCGCGGAATGAAAATGGTGCGTTCCAGTGTTTCTCGTCAAGCGGGATTTTCTTTCGAGGTTGCCTTATGAATGGTTTAATTCGTTCCGGAGACTCGCCGAAACGGCATAATAAACCATTAGAAATCTATTTTTCCTGATTTTCGCATAAAATTGTGAATTTAAAATGCATAGGTAGGAGCTTCAAGTAATCCCGATGCAATAATTTGAAAATTTTTAAATTGCTAGAAGAGGCAGAAGTACGCACTTCTTTCCTTTCTACCCTCCATTTTTTTTAAATTCCAACACTTCAGTCAAAAACATGTTCAAATTCGAGCTTTTTAGGGCAAATTTTTTTTTACTCAAACCGAATTGTTGTGTGAGTCACTTTTCTAAAAAACAATGTCGTCGTGCGAATTGATGTTGTGCGCAGAGTCCGCAGACTAATAAACTGTACATCATTCAAGTGCTTTTTCCTTCAAACGCCGTTGCAAACCCCGGAGAATTTGAGCCAACAGTAAACAAATTCTCCTCGAAAATATGGACAAAACCTCTATAGGATCTTCGCAAAAAATTAATTTTCAGCCTACGATCGACTATAAAATCCAACGGGAAAATACCAATTCAGAACTCGATTGCTTCGCGAAAAGCGCTGCAGAACAGGTGAAATAATACAGTAGGATTAATTTCTATGATCGAATCCCATCAGTTGCAGAAGTACAGAAAACTCCACGTAAAAAATACTGAGCACCAGGAAAATGTCCGGTTTATGGAAAATTGACGAGATGATAAATGAACCAGTAATATTCAGTACAAGATACTGAGCAGCGGTTTTCAGGGATGCAAAAAGGTCTTTCATGAATGTAAGTTCAGAAAATATTCACGCAGCTACCCAATGGTCACATTACACGCACTCTGGATCTGAAATTCATTTCTCCAAAGCTGATGGGCATCAATACAAGAAATGGCAACTGTTCAAAATATATTTGCAACTTCCCCCCTCTCGAGTTGGAAAATACGACGTCAGTTTTTCCGGATGACCGAGTTCACGAACAGAATTTCACTCACTTGACCATGTGCTGTGACCAAGTTTCAAAAGAGAGCAAACGTTGGTGACAAATAGCGCAGACGAACTTCCGCTTGTGCCTCACAGTTGCTCCTCCGTTCTTGGCAGCAGTAGCCTTGCCAACTGAAATACACACGAAAAAATCGTGAATACGTAACATAAATTTCATAATCCAGAACATCGAGATATTTAGGAATGGATTCGGGGCTTGAATGAATCTTGGAACATCACTTAACTTAAAAATTTCCACGCAGACGAATTACCGACTGCTGATCCCTCAAAATATTTAGCCAGAACATAGAAATAATCGTTCATATCGTACATCAGAGATACCATGAGTAAAAAGAGTTTTCCCTCAATTATTCAGCAAAAATAATTCAAGGCAGTCAAACTTTTGCATCTAGTGATAAATTGCGTTTGAGCACAATGACTTCCGGAAAATATTATCCCACGGAGGAATCGCAAGATTGCCACTCTGGGAGTCAAACAGCTATCAATGTCCACATCATCCGCTGGGTTCTTTTTTTCCCTTGAAAATAAAAATCATCAGTTCTTGCATAAGTTGAAGAGTTTCCGTTTGCTTCCACATAAAATTACGAAAATCGCGGAAGATTCACCTGTACGCCGATTATTTTGGACGACTTCTGGATGAGATGCAGTAGGAATTCGACCAAGTGGAGAGAAGTTCAGTGCCGGCATTCGATTTTCCTGAACTGGTGGTAATTGCTGGTACAACATCCTGTTCGGCAATGCTGGTTGCCCAGCTGGGTTCTGGCCCGGGTAACAGTGATCATAGTAGCCCTGATGCGGAAAATTGCTCGCAAACCTGCTCTGGTCTCCAAAAGAAGTTCCCTGCTGTTGATAGGTGTAGCCATTTTGCTGAACTGGATGATATTCCATGCGATACTGCTGAAATAAGAATTGAATTTACGATTGGACCTTGATAACTTGTATATTTTGTATCTCCCAATTTAAATTTCTCCATCATCAGTCCCTGTCTGCGATCAAATGAAATTTATGCAGGCCTTCAAGTTATTATCCTGGGGACCCTGCAGAGAAGATGAAAAATAAAAATTAAACTTGCCAATTCTCATAAGGAAGTGAATAACTGATTCCACAAATGTGCCCTTGCCTCCAAGTACAGCATCGCGTCAATTAATTGATCAATCTAGCTATTTAAGATCCAGAATGTCACATTTACACTCATATCATCAATTGTCCATCAAATAAATAATTTAGTTTTTCCAGCTATAAAACACTTGCAGTAAAAATATTTGATGAAGTCCCTCAGGATTCAACTATAGTATTCTACATTTCTCAGGACCAGAATCTTAGAACAAAATTCATGCAACAAGTTCTGCTCCGCATTTTTTTGGAAGAGCAAGAACAGAATGAAAAAACAGCAGTTCACAAGAAGGCTAAAAGAACTTTCAACAATGGAACTGATTCTTCAGAAAAGCTTTTGGAAATACAGTATGAACAATACAAGAGGGTCCCTAAATCAACGAGATAATCATTGCACTCCGTTGAAAGATGCGCTTTTCATGAATAACAAAATTTAGCTCAACAATAATATACTGCACTCTACAGTACAGTACCTGAAAAATATTCAATCTGTTCTTGGCCTGCCTTGGACCTGAGGGTTCATTCACTGAGCAAAAAATAAATGTAATCCTGAACATTTTAAGCTCTTCGATTTCCTTTTTATTCGCAAATCTCTAAAACGATAGCAAAGGCAACCATTTTATCCTTCCTTGTCAAGAATTTTTGTCCTGATACTATAAAACCCAGAAGTTCAAACTGTGAACATTCTGAAATTGTCAGTCTGGTCAGGAATATTGGGATAATTTTTTCAACTTGAAGAATTTTGGATATGAGAATATTTTCAGAAACGAATGCACCCATAAGCGAAAGTAAACTTTTTTCTGAACTCTGCTTGGAAATGAGGGGGCTATTGGAGCGGGTATTATGGCGGGAAATTCCCCGAGAAAGTCGACTGAATACAAAATTGCAACAAATGGCCACGAAACTGTTCAGAGAACCGATATGGATCTTCCTATAGGAGGCACAGTAACGAACTTACTGGTGGTAGAGGATACGCTGGAGCAGAAAACTGTCCGCCAAGAGCAGAGTTATTCCGGCTAACGACGACCCCGTTCCCGTTCGGAAAATTTGCGAATCCGTTAGTCAAGTTCATGGGTTTTAAATTGTCTTCCGCTGAACGACTTGAGTGGACCCATGTCCCTGAGGGGCAATTCCAGTTCTGTTGGAGTTCGTCTGGGGGTGATTTCCAATCAATGGACGTTGTGGAGCTTGGAGTGGCCTCTTGCGGTGACTCCACAACTACACCTGATGATCCGTGGCTGATGGACGTGATCCGTATCACGTTATGGGGTTTTTCGCTCAGCAACGATCTTAGGACTGGGTTTCTGGGAGTAGTGGGTTCCCTGGAAATATCACAATTGTAAATTAATTAACAGAAGTAAAAAACAGGGTGAAACCGAAAATTCAAAATCTTCAATAAGGAAAATTCAGTAATTGGAATACGTCAGAAGATGTGTTTTCGCTGTATATATAAAGTACAGTATGACATTCCTTCGGATCAGTCATTCGTTCAGCTAATTTTTGAATGAACGTTAATTGGCTTCAACATCATCAAATAAGTCTGGCCTTCTCCTCTTGGACTTGATTCTTGTAACGTTTTTCGAAGACCGGCCAATTTCGATGAGCCACAATATGAATTTTCTTTTAAAATCGAACTTTCACTTCACTGCATTTGTGAGTTTTGAGACGATGAATTCGAGCTGAATTTCTCACTCCATCAGAAATCTCTTCAGCAACAATTTGGCAATCGCAACCAAAGCACAATATTCTCCAAACACATATGCAGTTTCCCTCGAATTAATTGATTCGATAGACTTTATAAATTTAAATTCAGGGTCAACGCAGTTCTCTGCTTCTATGGATCTGGAAACAATGCAATTTGAAAATCTGTAATATTAACTTCTGCCCATCTCGCTCACTTACATTTGATTAGCATTCGAGTTCATGGAATCCGCAACAGGACTCGTTTTGAAATCCTCTCTGAGTACCCGCAAGTCCTCTTCAAGAACATCGAAATCCACGTCGCCTGACTCACGTTCCAGAAAACATTCCAGTGACTCCAAAGAATGCCCATCATTTGCTTCGTTCACGGTTTCCCGTTTTTCAATTTCCCCCTCGAAACTTTTGCTGATTTCCGAATTTTTCTCATCATCGGTGTCTGTGTCAATGATGAGATTCCCATCGGACTCATCAGCACCGAAATCGTCTTCCATTTGAGCACTAGTCTTGTGAACACCACAGTGGTTCATAATCTGAACACAGTTTTCAAAACCTCTCGCAATTCCTGAAAAGAGCAGATACATTTGAAACTGGTGTGCAATTGTCATGGAGGTACTGTATAAAGTGCTGGGGACGGCGGGGGGAGTGGGGTTGTAGTCGGGGAAACAAATGCTCTTCACATGCAAGTCCTTGAAATTTCAAAAATTAAGAGGAAATGCATTCGGGGGGGGGGGGAAATATATCCATCTATTTAAGGAAACCATGATTTATGCAAGCACAGTTGAACAGCTACTTTCAACGGAAGTCAACTGGGAAAAAATCCCATTAGGATAGGATAAAAAACTGGATCCCAACAGAAAAGCCTCAGATCCAAACACAAAATACTCCAGAAGTTTTGATTTGCAGGGAAAAAAAACTCGGGCACGGGTCCTACATGCAGTTAAGTTTCCGGACAAACTAGAAAAAAAAATCTAAGTGCAAGTCTTTCTTGAGGGCGAGCGATATTCAAGTGAACAGCGTAGCAGAGCAGAAGAAAAGTCGTTTAAATCCCTTGATTGCTTTCCAAAATCACAAGGTCAAGTGGCGCGTTTCAAAATTACAGTATCTGCTAAAAGGGAAGACTGAACTGATTCCCCATCAACTATGCTGCACTCACTGACATTATTGTCACACTGCGGTACTTCTTCAGAATCACCTGTGCGATGGCGCCAAGGCTCATATTGGAAATGATACTCATCCAAAAAGGAATTTAGAATATTGGAACAACGAACTTCGTGCCCCAACTACTTGGCGAGAGTTACACAGGTGGCACCTTGTAAAAAGTTGACCGTGAAGCACAGAAATGTTCCACGCAGTTGACTGCGCGTAAAACGTCTCGACGAACTGATCAAACCCAGGCAATTCCCAAAATTTACAAACCAAATACAGCACATGAAATGATCATTTATTATAATTTATTTGTCACTTATTCATAAAATTCTAGAAACATGGCCGTAGTCGCCATAAATTTCGAATTTCACGTATTTCCCGAACAAGGTTTCTTCACTTCACCAAAGAAACACCATTACGACGAGTGAAAGCAGGACACCAACAGGTTTCAAAAAATAGCGTTTCATTTCGCTCAAGATTCTGATTAGAAACGGTCAGGATTTGAGAAATATGATTTTAGCAGTACTACGCAATTTTCTGGTCCACCTTATGTCACTATTTCATAAATGGGAAGGCAGGACTGAGCAATCATTAACACGTCCGTATGCAAGTCCCTTAGTTATTAGTAATATATACTGTGATTTACAATTCCTCAATGAATAACGTCGAATATGCACTCGAGTAACCTGTTCCGGAAGATGTGCGCACACTTTTACGTGTAGAGTATACCAAGCAAAAAACACGCCGAACAAAACGAGGTCTCAAGCTACACTGCTGCTACAATTTTCCTATGCCACATAAGGGTTGCATACCCTCCGCAATTCCACCTGAATACCATCAGCATTCCTATCATTCGGTACCGAAAAATGTTTGAAAAACGAAACCACGAGGCTTCTCTTCTCACGTCATCACATCCCTACACTCAGAGTAACCAGAATCCGACACAGACGTCGGCTTCAGACAGAAGTTCTGCCACGAATCCCCAATCAATGCAGAAAAAATTTAGTTCTTTCAAATACGATGTTGGAGCAACGTTTAGAAAGACTCATTTTAAGTCTCGCACGCAGTACGACACCAATAAGGCAGCTAATTTTCTCTGAAACAATTCGCCATAGGATTAGATACGACCTGCAAGAGAGAATTGAGACATGATCTGCCAGCAGATTCGAAGGGTACTTCGGAATTCAGCGCACGCAGATCACTAAATCTTACTTTTTTCACTTTCTCGTCACTCCGATCTCTATGAGATCAAACATCGGGGATAATTTATCGGTTTCGCCGAACAGTCCATTGCTTGCGGACGTCTCACTCGACCAGCACGTAACTTTCCCAAGATCGCTGCTTTAGAAAATCAGCGAGTCGCCTCAAAAATCACGTCATTCGCGCTTAGGTAAGAAATACCGCAACCACTCGGCAACATGGTGTCGTTATGCACAAAATGAAAAGGTTGGCGTAAGGGAGAAGCTCAGAAGTCAACGCATGAATCACTCATCCGCATGACGTACTGTTACATCATGTTCGGTTCACAGCTCCGAACTGACAGATGACATAAACTGGGAAGAAACTTTTTCCTCGTCAAAATTTGGGAGCGGTTGGCTTTCAACAAGAAACAACACGATTACATGACTTCCAAGGAATTCGCCTTGGATTTCGAATTTCAGCGCACCGCAGTCTCCTCACTGCCGCGTGTATGCATCTTGCAAGCATCGACTTCGACACTAGGGCCTGGATTAATTGGTTGGAAGCAATCGGCGTCGGCCGCATTCTTCCGTTAATCTGATATTCCTGGCGGCCGATTCTTATTACAACTGATTTTCCTTGAAATCGATGCTAGAAGTATTTGGAATGCCACATTTACAATCACGTAGGTAAACATTAAAACGATTACTTCATGAAGATTGGATGTCGTCAACGGATCTATTGCCCACCGTGTCTTCTTGTTCGACTAGCCCAGTGCATACTCAGTCACCGTTCGTTGATGACATGAGAGAAGCGGGTCTAGTGTACGTTAAGGTTGACCGACAGCCGTTGACTTTGTGGTTTGGCGCATTGCGCGACCCTCCCAATGGCGCCAACGAACATCCCGTCGCCCCTCTTTGACTTTGTCACCCCCACACCACGCCAATAAATACATCTTCCTTTCTCAGAAAACTGAAGGTCATTCAGGGGTCCCATAAAACCTTGAGACAAGAAAGCATTCACTCTGCTCTCTTGTGAAGAATATAGAATTACTTCCGCTGCAGGTCTCCATTCCTCGGAATTGGTGGCAGCCTAAACAAATCGCGCCAATTAATTGGTCTGGCTTCACTCCTCTATTTTGCTTCTCTGCAGCCCTAATGGACTTCATATGAGCGGAACTTCCTCGGCCTACGAAGATTTTTACCCCCTTTAATCCTAACGTTCTACAATAAAAAGATAGCAGACCCCATTTTGAAATGACGATATTTCTTTTAATTTCCCCGTGGCGATTTAATGTCTTTCGTGACAGCAAGGCTTGTTGTTTGCAATGAACGAAGTCTCGCATCCGATTCACGGGGAACACTATTGAAAAGCAACCCAGGATTGATCACATTAAAAACCTGCGGATTCAATCGATGTCGGCCGGAAAGTAACACGTGATACGAAAATCAACTCTTATTCAAACATCACACAAGAGATAAAATATCACACAAAATTATTCCAGAGATAAGCATCAATCACATGCACGAAAATTACTCACTGAGAATAGATACAAGATGTCTCCGGTTTGAATTGCACAGTATAATATGTATATATATACTGTACACGAAGCTCGCTGATGACAAAACAGCACTGAAATATTCCCCTATTTTCTTTCACCAAGAATGGATTGCAGACTTCATATACAGTAATTTAGATCAATTTTCGCAGGTGTCTTTGACAAGGTTCCACTTTAGCAACTGATCGTGGATCTCTTTGAATTGCTGCACACATGGATTCCGTTTTGCATCACTATATAATGATATTAAATTTGTACTCCGCAATTTGTGAATTTTCGTGAATTGCGATACGGACGCAAGTGAGTAACTGAATCAATGGATTCAATGCTGACTTCTGTTTTTCAAGACTATATTATTTATTTGCCTATACCACGTATGTTCAGCAGAAACCCCTCTTCCGAAACCTGGTCGCACTCGCACTTACGGTAACAGAATTTCTACAGAAATGCTGAAGATCGTCCATTGCCAGGGAGTTCAACAATAGTTGAAAGCGAAAAGAAGTTTGCAACACTAGCGAACATGATTTATAGTCCGGTACAAATTTTTGTTTTTGTCTTGAGAGTGCCCTATTTGGGATTTGCTGCTTATTATTTTGCTTGTGCTTGGGCTGGTTTTTTTCCCCACCAGGCCTCATTTAACCCTGTGATTTAGGGCTCTGTTGATCAGCGCGCCCAAGAAAT